CCGGGGTGAGAACAATAGGTCCCCCCCTTATTATAATTTAGGGCCCCCACCCACCGCTCAGAGGTGGGGGCCGGGGGGAGAACAATAGGCCCCCCATTATTTTACTTTAGAGCCCCCACCCGCCGCTCAGGGGTGGGGGCCAGGGGGGGCAATAGGTCCCTTTTTTTCTTCTTTTTTTCAACAGTGAGCAGCCACAGGCCACAGGCAGCCACGCGGTATAGCGAGTAGGGGCAAAATTTACTAATACTAAGTAATCTTTACTTAGTATTAGTAAATTTGGCTGAAAGACCAATTTAGTTCTTTCAGCCTTTTGGTAGAGAACTCCCTAATACCGTGGGAATTAGGGAGTTATCTACTAAGCGGCGGCAAGAGAAGTCCCGAAGTTGTCGAAGTCCCGAATTGCGGAAGGCCGAACCGAACTGAAAATTTTCCCCATGCACATGCCTAGTCTGGAAGATGTCTCCCACTCAGTCAGGAAGGTCACATATATCCCCATTTGAGTTGCTAATGCGCACAATTATTTTCGATTTGATGCAACGTTTCAGTCATCGTGCTAACATGGAATGGGTTTTGTTACTTTTTTTTCGTAAAATTTTTGTTTAAGCCAGAGGAGGGCCTTAGAAGTGTCTTCTAGGGTGAAGCACTTTAAGAGTTCTCTAGCTGCTGTCAGTTGGTCAAGACAGGCCGTGTTTGGGTCTGATTTAAGCTGAGCTTTCAGGCGGTGGATTTCCGCCATGGTATCTGTGATCTGTTGTATTCGGCTTTTCTTTCTGGCTGTTGCCATGCTAATTAACTTTCCACAGTTTACCGCCTTGTGTGCTGTCATAGGGTTATAGGGGTCGGTATTTATTTCAAAATAGTCTGTAATGTCTTTAGGTATAGTCCCGGTTAGATCAATGTTGTTCAATTTCAAAGTCCAGGGCCGGGTCAGGTTATGAATTTGTAGTGTCAGGGATATGTCTAGATGGTTCGACCATGTGATTGAGCCAATGCTGGTGGTGATTACTTGATAGAAGGTGTTTGGGGCCACCAAGAAGTGGTTGATTCAGGAATTTGATTTGTGTGGGTGCAAATAAAATGTGAAATCTTTGGTGGATGGGTGTTGAGCCCTCCATACCATCTATGAGATTTCGGGAGAAACAAAGAAACATAGAATGTGACGGCAGATTAGAACCATTCAGCCCATCTAGTCTGCCCAATATTTGAAATACTTTCATTAGTCTCTGGCCTAATCTTATAGTTAGGATAGCCTTATGCATATCCCATGTATGTTTAAGCTCCTTTACTGTGTTAACCTCTACCACTTCAGCTGGAAGGCTATTCCATGCATCCACTACCCTCTCTGTAAAGTAATACTTCTTGATATTTTTAAACCTTTGCCCCTCTAATTTAAGAATATGTCCTCTTGTTGTGGTAGTTTCTCTTCTTTTAAATATAGTCTGCTCCTTTATTGTGTTAATTCCCTTTATGTATTTAAATGTTTCTATCATATCCCCCGTCTTGTCTTTCCTCCAAGCTATATATGTTAAGTTCTTTTAACCTTTCCTTGTAAGTTTTATCCTGTACTCCATGAACCAGTTTAGTAGCCCTTCTCTGAACTCTCACCAGTGTTCTGTACAATGGCATGAGCACTTCCCTCTTTCTACTGCTAATACCTCTCCCTATACAACCAAACATTCTGCTAGCATTTCCTGCTGCTCTATTACATTGTCTGCCTACCTTTAAGTCATCAGAAATAATCACCCCTAAATCCCTTTCCTCAGATGTTGAGGTTAGGACTATCAAATATTCTGTACTCTGCCCATGGGTTTATGTCCAAGATACATTATCTTGCACTTATCCACATTATCTTGTCAGTTGCCACAACTCTGACTATTTTTCTAGTTTACCTAAATCATTTTCCATTTGACTTATCCCTCCTGGAACATCAACCCTGTTACATATCTTAGTATCATCAACAAAAAGACATACCTTACCATCAAGACCTTCTGCAATATCACTAATAAAAACATTAAAGAGAATGGGTCCAAGTACAGATCCCTGAGGTACCCCTCTGGTGACTAACCCATGCTTCGAATATACTCCATGGACTACAACCCTCTGTTGCCTGTCACTCATCCACTGCCTTACCCATTCAACAATATTGGAATCCAAACTTAAAGATTGCAGTTTATTGATAAACAGGCTCTTAGTGGCCTGGTTTCTGTTGAGTAGCTATGTGGTTGCAGGTATAGCCGATGCAGTGAGAATGCGTGTTGTACATTGCTCTCGGGTATGAGAGACTAGGTGTGCATTATGTTTGGTCCCACTGAAGCCTAAGATGCGTCTTAAGTAAGAGTAAAAAAACATATAACCAAAAAACAAGGAAAAAGGCAACCTGTGCATCTTAAACTGTGGTAAGCTTAGAGTTCCCCTACTTAAGCCCTTGGGGCTAGTCCATGGTGGATGTGGCCTCATTTGCCATCAAAGTCTCATTAGGTCGTAGTTGCTGCGCTTCTCTTTGCTTCGAGCCATCATGGGACAAACGGGAGAGTTGTTGCTGGGTCCCCTATCCCAGGTGAAGCGGATATTATGCGTCGTCCTGTCATAAGCCCAGGGTGGGAAGTAGATCTCTCGCGCCCTGCATATCGTGGTTGGTGTACTGGGAGTCTCCGCGAGAGAGTTGTAGTGCGTGTGAACCCCTCCACTTGTATTTGATGTTTTGCCTGCGGAGAAGTGACGTGAAGGGCTGAAGAGCTATTGTGGACCATGACGGGTCTGTGTAGAATGAGAGCGACATGCTCTCAAATTGGTTGCGTTTATCACCACTGTTTTATCTCTCTTAGGGGAAGCGTACCAGGAGATCTCTGGGTAGCGGGCGTGGAGTCGTGGCAGGCCTTGGGAGACGGAACATCCTCTCCAGTCACCTGTTTGGCATGTTTAGGTGTAAATAGGGCTGTGAGGAGCTGTCGTACAAAGTGAGGAAATTCAGCCTCTGGTATCTCTTCTGCAATCCCCCCGATCTTAATGTTCATGCTGCTCCTCAGGTCCTCCAGTCCTGCAAATTGGTGTTCAAATTTAAGGTTCTGCCACTGCACTTCGGTTACCAGTTGTGTTTTGTTGGGATCCGTGTTCCAGGGGGCTCATGCAGCCTGTTAGGCCCTGCAGGTCCGTGCGTATTTGGGCCATATCTGCCTGTATAGTGAGTTGGACCTCCTTCATAACTGCTGTGGTGACTGGGGGTGAGTCGGGTCGTGGGGGAGTCGAGAGAGGGGCCTATGGTGCAGGTAGGAGCTCTACCTCTGTTCCGGTTGTGAAATCATCCGAGATGTTGGAGCTTTCATCCGGGAAGGCGGCCATGTTTGGACTCATTGCACTCCGGGCCTGTCTCCAGAGGTCGACGATGGCTTGTCGGGCTTAGGTTATTTAGTTTTTTTCCCCATCCCGTTGACAACAACCCGGGCGTCCCGTTTTGTGTCCGGTATGCAGGTTTTGGGCCATGCGATAGGGGTAAAGTGGCTGTGTTGTCCGAAACTCAGCCAACGTGCGGCCATTCAGTTCAGTGGCTTAGCTCCGCTCCCCCCTCTTTTGTTTTTAATCTAACTAATCCTTCTTTTACTTTCTTGGGGTGTCACATCTTGATGGACTGGCTGGGTCCTGTGTGTGAAGAGACCTGTCTAGCAATGTAGAGTGGACCGCATTGCAGTCCCCCCTATAACGAGACGGGTGTTGGACAAGGTTGTGAGGTGTGTGGAGAGCTGGTGCCAGAAATTAGGGTCTGGGTAGGTGGGCACATAAATGGAGCAGAAAGAGTAGCTGTTGGAGCCTATTTTCCTGGTTATTGTTACAAATCGGCCTTGAGGGTCGGCAGTCGAGGTAATGTCAGTCAGTGGGCAAGTGGTCCTCAAAATGATAGCTACTCCCTTAGTCTTAGTGTCTGGTGAGTTAGCCAAGTAGCTATGTTTATAATAGAAATTTTCCCACAATTCTTAGCTTTCCTCCCTGTTCCCGTGATGCTTCCTGTCAGTATTGCCGAACGTCCTGTCACTTAGACAGAACGCCGGCAAAACTACCAAATTGCATCCTAACAGAATGAGAACAGTTTCTCCATTCGTGTTAGGATGCAATTCAGGACTTTGTTCGGATCGGAATTTCATTCTAATGAATGAAACTCTGATCCTATTCATTGCCGCTGCTGCATCTTGCAGCCGCTTAGTAGATAACTCCCTAATTCCCATGGTATTAGGGAGCTATCTACCAAAAGGCTGAAAGACCTAAGTTGGTTTTTCAGCCAAATGTACTAATACTAAGTAACGATTACTTAGTATTAGTAAATTCTGCCCGTGCTCGCTATATCGCCTGTGGCTGCTCACTGTAAAAAACAAAAACAAAACTATTGTCGTACCCCCCCCAGCGGGGCAGGTGGGGGCCGTAAATAACAATAAGGGGGAGGGAACCTACTGTCCCTGAAATAACAATAAGACCTTGTGTAGATGTGCTTCAGTCAGAGTTGTGTCTATACCATATAACATACATTAGTTCACTAAAATAATTAATTATATTGGGGAGTGAATATAGTTTAAAAAAAAAAAGCTGAAAATAGGAAATGAAAGATATTAGAGGATAATTTACAGCGGCAGGTGGGGGCCCTAAAGGATATTGGGGGAGGACCTATTGTCCTCCCCCTGGCCCCCACCCCTGAGCGGTGGGTGGGGGCCATAAATAACAATAAGGGTAGGGGGACCTACTGTCCTCCAGTGGCATCTCTAGGATTCATTTTTAGAGGGGGCACATGGTAGGCCAGGGACAAAAGCAGAGGGGCACATGTAACCCCGCCCTTATCACAGTTTAACTGCGTCCCTCTCACATGTTAAGCCTAGCCCCGACACAATGTGTGTGGGGGGGGTTTTGTTTTGGTTTTTTTTAATACTCCCTGGTGGAGGATTCATTATTTTCCACCAGAGATTATTAAAAAACAAACATTTCCCTTGACACAGTGCCATAGTTGCCAACATTTGAAAAAAAATTCCAAGGACATTTTGCACCACAGCTATCAATTACTACCTTGAAAGTTTACCACACCCACTGCCACAAAACTCGGCCCACTATGTCCAACCCACATAATTAATCTCCGCCTACTTATCACAGTACAGATTACAGTCTACTCAATAAAGATAGATTTACAGGGAATTGAGATGATAATTTTAAACTTAAGGCCAAAGTAGCTGAGTTAGAAACATTCCCCCATTCATCTGCCCTATTTCAACCTAATGTTGGAAATTCCCATGACAATTCCCTGCAATTCTCTTTATTGAGAAGATGTTTATAACACCAAGTTCCCACCAACAGTACCATGTATCCATGGTATGCGATAGACACATTCACAGCACATCATATATCAGGCAGGTACATTTTATCACTTTTAGGTGAGCTGGGTATCGGTGGTGACACTGTCTGTACAAATATAAAAAAAAGACCTTGTGTAGATGTGCTTCAGTCAGAGTTGTGTCTATCCTCTAAGATATTAGAGGATAATTTACAGAATGGAATTAAAGAGAGAATTTGGAGCAAAAGGATAAAATATGCACATATTCAATTAGCCCCTTTTCTTGCCAGCAATTCAACATGTTAAATGTCTCCGATTGAGACTTCAGTCACCACTCCACTGCTTCTGACTCCTCTAGTTCCTGGAATCTGTGGGTATTACACATGTATTATACAGAGAGCAGCACTATATAAGGAGCAATGACTGTCCCGGGATATTATACACAGACCTGTATTATACAGAGAGCAGCCCTATACAGGGAGCATTGACTGTCCCAGGATATTATACAGACACAAACCTGTATTATACAGAGAGCAGCACTATAAACGGAGCACTGACTTTCCCAGGATATTATACACACAGACCTGTATTTACAGAGAGCAGCACAATACAGGGAGCCCTGACTGTCCCAGGATATTATACAGACACAGACCTGTATCCTAGAGAGAGCAGCACTATACAGGAAGCACTGACTATCCTGGGATATTATACACACACACACACACACACACCTGTATTATGCAGAGAACAGCACTATAGTATTATACAGATAGCTTAGCATATACCCCATGTTCCAATCTCTAGACTACTAGTACCTGTCAACAGCAGCTCCCAGACGCGTGTAACAGGGCTAAAGTGTGCGGCAGCTCACACAGATGATTTAGCGGTAAAGCGCACTCGCTGGCAGAGCCAAACTGGGAATCCAGAGCAGCCCTGGAAAAAAATTTATGCCATTCCTACAAGTCGTTATCTATCTATCTATCTATCTTGTACAGTAAGCACACAAGCTCACTGACATGCGCAAATAGGCTCACTGACAGACATAACTCTCTGACTCACAAACTCACTTGTATAAACACAAGGCTCACTACAAAGAAGTTCAGTGGGACACACAAGCTCACTAAAGACAAGCTCATTGACACACACATGCTCACTAAATAGAAGCTCACTGACACACACAAGCAGTACCTTCTTAACAACGTTATGGGTCCCCGGGCAAATCCGTGCACTGGGGCTCTTCCTACACAACTACTCACGGGAACAAAAATGTTAATTATTGATAGACTGCTGATTACATACACACAGTAAACTGAATACGAACACAGAGAGACTGCTGAATACACACACACAGATTTCTTAATGCACACAGGCGTTGCTGAATGCACACAGGCTGATTTATAACATGCTGAGTCCATACACAGACAGACACACAGACTGCTGAGTCCAGACACACACACACACACATACACAGACTGCTGAGTCCTTACATACACGCAGACTGCTGAGTCCATACATACACGCAGACTGCTGAGTCCATACATACACGCAGACTGCTGAGTCCATACATACACACAGACTGCTGAGTCCATACATACACGCAGACTGCTGAGTCCATACACACACGCAGACTGCTGAGTCCATACACACAGACACATAGACTGATGAGTCCATGCACACACAGACACACACACAGACTGCTGAGTCCATAAACACAGACTGCTGAGTCCATACACAGACAGACACACAGACTGCTGAGTCCATACACAGACAGACACACGGACTGCTGAGTCCATACACACGCACACACAGACTGCGGAGTCCATATACACACACAGACTGCTGAATCCATACACACACACACACACAAACAGACTGCTGAGTCCATACACACAGACACATAGACTGATGAGTACATACACACAAACTGCTGAGTCCATGCACACACAGACACACACACAGACTGCTGAGTCCATAAACACAGACTGCTGAGTCCACACACACACACAGACTGCTGAGTCCACACACACACACACACACACACACACACTTCTGAGTCCATACACACACACAGACTGCTGAGTCCATACACACACAAGCTTCCTCACTTGCAGGCAGACAGACACACACACACACACACCAAGCCTACCTGTCACTGGAGGCTGTTGCTGGGGGTCAGACAGCCATCTTCTGGCCTTAACAACAGCAGCAAGGTCTGCTACTTGATGGTGGGGGTGGGGCTTATGTGCGGGAGGCGGGGCTTTGTTTGGGGGCGCGGCCTGTGACCGGGAGCATCTCTTCACCGGCACAGACAACACCCAGCACCATTCCAGATGATATCCTCTCTGTCCTGCATTCCCTTAGGCTGTAACAGACTGTTACAGTCCGAGGGAATATCATTTAAGCACATGGTCATCAAGTTGCCAGCACAAGAGGGGGCACAGCATGATGTAGGGGGGGCCATGGCCCCCTCTGCCCCCCCAGCAACGCCAATTGTCCTCCCCCCAGGCCCCACCCCTGAGCGGTGGGTGGGGACCATAAATAGCAATAAGGGGGGGGGGACCTATTGTCATCCCCCCTGGTCCCTACCCCTGTGCGGCGGGTGGGGTCCCTAAATAACAATAAGGGGGGGACCTATTGTCCTCCCTCCTGGCCCCCACCCCTGAGCGGCAGGTGGGTGCCCTAAATGAAAATCCCCCCCCCAAGGTGACTAGGGGTCCCCAAGCTCCTAGTCACCCCCCATCCAAATAAAGAAATAATCCCCTACCTACCCCCCTCACCCTAAAAATAGTGAAGGTGGAATAAAATAACTAACTACCTGTAAAGAAAATAAAACTTAGCATTTGATGTCTTTTTTTCTAAAATGTAAATTTTTCAGCCCAAAAAAAGGCCAAATAAAAACCATAATACCCGTCAAACTTGTAAAAAATAAAATAAAAAACCAGAGCGCAAAAAAAAACCTGCTGTAAAAGAAAAAAACAGACACTAAAAAAATTATCCATCTTCACCCGGCGAGGGCAATGCGCAGAATGAGCTCCGCAGGGCTGGGAAAGGCTTTCCCACCCTGCAATTAGGCTCAGAACACAGTTCTTTGGAATTTTCCCATGCTGTGTAAAATAACACAGAGCACTATGATTGGATGGCTTGAAATCCTCTTCCTTATATATCTCTGGGTCTGCAGAAAGACCACCCAAGATTAGCCCCTGACAGTATCTTAGGTGCAGGCATTTTACTGGACGAATCTGGCAAGAATTTAACAGGTGACCCTGGTGTCCGCAGTATAGGCACAGGCCCTCTCCTCAACAGAGAGGGATGAGAAGCCTAACCGCCTCGGCTCCACACCTCCAGAGGACTCAGGACCAGGAGTCATGGGAGGTGAGGCAGGCTTGGGTGGGGAAAAAAAGCTTGGTGCCAAATATACAGGAGGACTCTGCAAGCGTTTCCTGAATGAGGATCTCTCTCGGAAGTCTGATATCAATGAGGATGACAAAGGATATCAGTTCCTCGAGATCTTTAGGTAATTCTCTGGCTGCAGTCTCATCCTTAATAACATCAGAGGGCCCATGTGAAAAGGCAGCCTTGAGAGTCTCGTTCACGCCACCCTCTGCGGAGGGTACGGAATTCACTGGCATATTCGACAATTGTTCTCGTGCCCTGTGCCCTGACATGCGTTGTTTGGCAGCAGAGGTGGAGCAAGCTGGAATATCAAAAACCCTTTTAACGCACACAACAAATTCAGGGTAATTGTAAATTACAGAGAGGTTTTGCCCAAGTTAGGGCTTTTTCAGACAACAAAGAAATCGTGAACCGGACTTTGCTTCTGTCTGTAGGAAATGCCTGGGGAACCATTTCAAGGTATCCTCTAACCTAGTTTACAAATTCTTTGCACTGAGCTGGGTTGCCTCTGAAATACTAAGGGAGCGGGACAGATCCAGTCATTCCTCTAGCTACAACAGGTTTGGAGGCTACAACCGGTGTTAGAACAGGAAATGAGGCAGAGGTGGCCGCAATTGCAGGCTGGCCGGGTGCTGGATCCAGATGTGCACTGCAAATCAGGAGGGTCTGGAGAGCATGTGTACACTGGTCTAAACGGTGGTTCTGCTGGTCCCATTGAGTAAATAGGTTAGGTATAGGTGTATTGCCTCTACCATCTGTATTCATGGCCCTTGCGTAATGTTAGGGTCCAGGAACCAGACAGAGACAGAACTAGATGCAAAAACACCTTTATTAATAAATAGAAAATAAAGTAAGAACCAAAAGCAAAGTCCACGAGGCAATGAGGGGTCAGCACCAAAGCGGATAATCAGACGAGCCAGGATCAGGAACAAGGAGACTTCTGGGAAACAGGAAAATAGGCAAGGAGATACTTAAAGGACCACTATAGTGCCAGGAAAACATACTCGTTTACCCTGTGCTATGCCGTCCTTGGGGACCGGCTCTAAACGCCAGCGGACGGCATAGCACGTCCACGCCGTCCAGGATACTTACCCACTCGCCGGCGATATATATATTTACCTGTTCCAAATTATTATGCAAATTCTATTTGTGTCACAAAGATTAAATCTTTTGTTTTCCAGTTAAACTCATGGATGGCATGGTGTCTCAGGGCTCATTTGATCACTGAAAACGATCTCTGCCACCTGTGATAATTACATTGCCAGGTGAGCCCAATTTAAGGAAAACTACTAAAGGAGGGTGTTCCACATTATTAAGCACAGCACCATTTTCATGCAATATGGGGAAGAAAAAGGATCTCTCTGCTGCCAAAAAGGGTGAAATAGTTCAATGCCTTGGACGAGGTATGAAAACATTAGATATTTCACGAAAACTTAAGCGTGATCATCGCACTATTAAGAGATTTGTGGCTGATTCAGAGCACAGACTGGTTTGTGCAGGTAAAGGCACATTGAGGAAGATCTCTGCCAGATCCATGCATCGGATCAAGAAAGCAGCGGCTAAAATACCTTTACATAGCCACAAACAGATATTTGAAGCTGCTGGTGCCTCTGGAGTCCCACGGACATCAAGGTGTAGAGTCCTCCAGAGTCTTGCAACTGTGCATAAACCTTCTATTCGGCCACCACTAACCAATCCTCACAAGCAGAAACGGCTGCATTGGGCAGAAAAATACATGAAGACTAATTTTCAACAGGTCCTGTTCAATGATGAGTGCCGTGCAACCCTGGATGGTACAGATGGATAGAGTAGTGGATGGTTGGTGGACAGCCACCCTGTTCCAACAAGGCTGCGATGTCAGCAAGGTGGTGGTGGAGTCATGTTTTGGGCCAGAATTATGGAAAGAGAGCTGGTCGGTCCCTGAAGGTGTAAAGATGACCTCTGCAAAGTATGTGGAGTTTCTGACTGGCCACTTTCTTCCCTGGTACAAAAGGAAGAACTATGCTTTCCGTAATAAAATAATCTTCATGCATGACAATGCACCATCTCATGCTGCAAAGAATACCTCTGCATCAATAGCTGTTATGGGGATAAAAGGAGAGAAAGTCATGGTGTGGCCTCCATCCTCACCTGACCTCAATCCTATTGAGAACCTATAGAGCAGCGGTTCCCAAAGTGTGGGTCGTGCTGACCCACACATCCAGGGCCGCTGGGGAGTCAGGCATGCAGACTGATTAGTCTGGCTCTCGGTCCGTGACCGCGGGCCCGACACCAGGTGGTGCCTCCAATCAGTCTGCCCAGCACCTCCGGCCTGCAGCTTCGCCTGGTGCAGAGCTGCAGACCGTGTGATAGAAGTCTCACGAGCACCCAGAGTGTTACCATGGCAACACTCTGGGAGCTCGTGAGACTTTTATTACACGGTCTGCAGCTCTGCACCCGGCAGAGCTGCAGACCGGAGAGTTACCCCACTGGACCACCATTGAATTTATGAAAGGTAGGACACAGCCCCCGGACTTCCTTCACCCCCCCCCATGTAACCCTTTCACTCCCTGCCCTCCCCCATGTAACCCCTTCACCCATGCATTGACGCAAACATTACAAACAAGTACACCACTACATTCTAATGGCAACAGTACATATACACCCATACATGCACACATATACTTAATATAAAAACATGCTTACATTCAAACGCTCAAACACTCCTCAAAAATATACCCTGCAATGATAAGAAAATGGTAGATCCCCATCTGGTATTACATTGTTGAAGTTCTCCGACAGATGGAGATCTACCTTTTGGCCACACTTGCACTACAGGGGGGCCCAGAAAACATTCTTGCACCAGGGCTAACTCTACATTAGTTCCACCACTGGAATAATCAATGTGAGGTGCCTGGATGAAAGAGCAGGACACAGCACTTCTGATTCGGAGTCTGTGGGTAAGCAGTTGTATGTCTCTAAAACTGATTGCCATGATGTGCAAAGTTTCTGCCTCTAAAACTACCATGATATCCCAGAATTATGCCTCTAAAACTGCCATGTTATGCCGATTTTATGCATCTAAAACTGATTGCCATGGTGTGCCAATTTTATGCATCTGACTGATTGCCATGGTGTGCCAATTTTATGCCTCTGAAGCTGATTGCCATGATATGCCAAGTTTATGCATCTAAAGCTTATTGCCATGGTGTGCCAAGTTTATGTATTTAAAGCTGCTATGATGTTCCAATTTTATGCATCTAAAACTGATTGCCATGATGTTCTGAATTTATGCCTTTAAAGCTGGTTGCCATGGTGTGCCAATTGTATGCACCTAAAGTTGCCATGATGTGCCAAGTTTATACATCTAAAACTGATTGCCACGATGTACCAATTTTATGCATCTAAAGCTGATTGCCATGGTATGCCAATTGTATGCATCTAAAGCGGATTGCTATAGTGTGCCAATTTTATGCATCTAAAGCAGCCATAATGTTCCAATAGTATTCCTGTAAAGCTGATTGCCATGGTGTGCCAGTTGTATGCCTGTAAAGCTGATTGCCATGGTGTGCCAATTGTATGCCTATAAAGCTGATTGCCATGGTGTGCCAATTGTATGCCTGTAAAGCTGATTGCCATGGTGTGTCAATTGTATACCTCTAAAGCTGATTGCCATGGAGTGCCAATTGTATGCATCTAAAGCGGATTTCCATGATGTGCCAATTTTATGCCTCGAAAACTGATTGTCACGGTGTGCCAATTGTATGCATCTAAAGCGGATTGCTATAGTGTGCCAATTGTATGCCTCTAAAGTGGTTTGCCATGGTGTGCCAGTTTCATGCCTCTAAAAGTAATTGTCATGGTGTGCCAAGTGTGTGCATCTAAAGCGGATTGCTATGGTGTGCCAATTGTATGCCTCTAAAGCTGATTGCCATGAAAGTGTTCACTTTTTAAAATATGCATTAAAAGCAAGTGGGTCTCGAAAAATTACTATTTTGAAAAGTGGGTTTCGGCCCATAAAAGTTTGGGAAGCCCTGCTATAGAGCATCCTCAAGCAAAAGATCTCTGAGGGTGGAAGGCAGTTTACATCCAAGCAGCAGCTCTAGGAGGCTATTCTGGCATCTTGCAAACAAATTCAAGCAGAAACTGTCCAAAAACTCACACGTTCAATGAATGCAAGACTTGTGAAGCTGCTATCAAATAAGGGGTCCTATGTTAAAATGTTTATAAAGTTAAAATGTTGTTATAAGTTTGATTGAAATAGCTTTTGATTTCAGTAAATATGCTGCAAACACAACAAATGACAATTTTCAGTTCTTTACAACCTATAAAGTGTTTTGAAACTTACTGTGCATTGTAAGTTTTTTATGTTTAAAAAAATACTGTTATCATTAGGAGGTTTGTTCAATAAAATTTGAATTGTACTCTTAATAGTTGATAACATGAGAATTATGCTGATTGTTATTTACTTAGGTAAATGAGAAAAATATCATTTGCATAATAATTTTGTATAAGTATACACTAAGTATATTTTAATATATATAATTTTATATATATATATATATATATATATATAATCAAAATACACATAAAATGATAATTATATTTATAAAATAAATATATAAATATGTTAAAAATGAAAAATAAAAAATAATTTTAAAAAATGTGTAATTTCGTTCCAACTGTATATATAACTGTGTGTGTGTGTGTGTATATATTTGTGCTCGGAATTTAATATGTAATGGATAGTGACTGAGATGTAAGTTGGTTGTGGTGTGCCGAAACCAACGTCCGAGTGGGCCTGTAAATAAAAGAGGGCAAAAGAGAAGCTGATGAATAAGATTCTAACATGCGTGGTGAATTTTGCTGTAGTGAGTGGGTGCCCTTGTAGTTGTAAGAGCGGTGAGTCTGGTAAGTGTGCGTTATGAGTTGACCTTAGGTGGTCTAGTGCCTTAACTGGGCTTTTCTTGATGGGGTATGATGACAAAAAGGGGGTGTTAGGGAAATTTGTGAGGCTGTGATGCTGCACCCCCGTGAGGTATAATTTAATTGTATTGTGGGAAAGTTTTAAATGTAAGTGGCAAAAGGAGGCAAAAGCCACCATAGTTTGGGTAGAAAAATCGCCTTGTAATCCGAATTCAGCTGTGAATTTATTGAAAACGGTAAGTGCCCTACTGTAGGTGATAGTTGTGTTAGGTGAGAGTCCTAGTGTGGTGCATAACTGTGTTCAATCCAGGATTAACTCGTGAAACCTCGGTGTTCTGGATGGTTGATGGTGGGCTGACGGGAGTGCCTGGAAGAATACCTGGAATTGAGATCGAGACAGAGCATCAGCGGCCGTGTTGTGGATACCCAGGATGTGAAAGCAAATTAAGTGGAACTGGACGGTTGCTGCAAGCCAGGTCAGCTTGCGAATCAGCCGCATAATGGTAAGGGAGGAAGAGCGCCCCTTGTTAATGATATCGCAAGCTGACGAGTTGTCGGAATAGCATTTTACTGCCTTGCCGGACCAGAGATGACCCCAGATGTGTGTGGCCGCCACAATGGGGTAAATTTCTAAAAGTGCTGAAGTCTCTCTAAAACCCGGCAAGGCATCCATCTCAGTGGGCCAGTGACCCCTAAACCAGTGACTACCGAATATAGCTGCGAAACCCGTGTTGGCTGCAGCGTCAGTGTAAATGCAGGGTGAGGAGTCGGAGAGAGGGGGAATAAACATGGAGATACCAAAGTGATGAGTGGAGCAAAAAGAAACACCAATATAGAGGCAATAGAAAAGGTAAAATACAACCTTTCAGGTTCCTCCAAATGATATTATTATATGTAAAGAAAAAATATATATGCAGTGATAGTGCAGATGGTAAATGACTACAAGAGATGCACTTCACATGCATTATATAGAACCTTATAGCACTTGAATATCTGAATAATGATGTGCTTAAATAAAAATGACATAGATTTATTATCTGCTACATGCAGAAAAATATAACAAATACAGAAACAATAAAAAAGCAATAGTAAATAAGGAGAGTGATTAGCCCCTTACTAGAAGTGTTGGTGAGTAAAACAGCTTAAGCTGTTACTTACTATTTGAGCTTATAGCAATGGGATGGCAGGTAGGCTGTAGTATGTATGCAGGGCTCGGTTAGATCCACAGGTCAGCAGTTGTGTTTGAATCTCTGACAAGATCGCTCCGAGTTCCGTCTGTAACAGGCTACTCCCCCTTTCGTGACGTCAACACGTTTCGCCGTATTGCGGCTTCCTCAGGACGTGTTCATAACCACCATGTTAGTTATGGGCATATAAAGGGCAAAGTCCCATCTGATAGGTTTTTACATGATTTTCACAATTACAGTTCAGTTCTTGTTGAAATCCTCACAAATTATACATATCTAATGGCAATTTTAGAACATATTAAATTGACAACCAAAAAATTAAAGTTAAACAATCGATGATAGTAAAACACATATGTACAAAAAATGCTAAAAGACAGCTAATTGTCCAATTTCATACATATAAGGGTTGTACCCAATATAGTTTTTAAAGTGACATTGTATCAAATATAGTGCAAATCTTACCATCTATTCTAAATGTGATAAAGATGTGTCTATCAAATGTATACAAATGATCACACATAAATACGGCACATATATAGGA